TCCCCTCTGAATGAAGGTGCACTGGTGCCCATTTATCTGTAGGAATCTCTCAGCCCATTCACCAAGGCCCTAGGATGATGTGACAACTGGGTACCCATGACCGAGGCCCAGTGTCAGGGTGGAGCAGGGGTTCCTAACCTGGGGTCCACAGATAGGCTTCTGAGGTTCCCTGAATCCCCTGAAACGGTACACAATTTGTGTGTGCAAATTAGTTCATATGTCCACTTTTCTGGGGAAAGGATCCATAACTTTTATCAGATTATCAGAAGAGTCCAAGAGCCCCCCCAAAGTTAGGAGTCACCAAGGGAGAGTGAGTGGAGGATGCTTCTCTGGCTAAGTAAGGAGAATCAGATGTGGTACAATCACCCAGGCCCCAGCAGGGTGCCAGGACGGGGGGGGGGGGGCACCCGCTGACTGAAGTATACTCCATCCCCCTCCGGGCTGATGAAGAACACAGAGTCTGAGGAAGGAAGCCCAGTTCTTGTTTATCCCTCATCATGGGGGAGCCTCTCTGGTTTCCCAGTGTAAAACGGGGAGGCGTTCTGGTCTCCTAGGGACTGGTGAATAAAGCCCCTGGCAATGGTTTCAGCATGGCCTGCAGAACCATCAGCGCTCTTCGGCAACTACAAGACCCACAGCCCCCCAAAGAAACGAAAAGCCTCACCCGTCAAAATCTGCCCTTGGGCGAACGAAGCGGGGTGCAAGGAGAACCATCAGGAAGCCAGGCTCCCCAGCACCTGTATTTCCTGTTCAGTGTGAATCAAAGCTGAGCTGGAAGCAGGTTATGCCTTAATTTCCCTGCTAATGCCTCCTGATCTCACAAGCTTCTCATTTATGGTTGGAAGTAACCTCGAAAGTCATCTAGTCCAACCTCCAGACTTGGGTCAGCTCCAACCACCACAAAGTTCTTTATAATGAATCAAAAACTCATCTTCCTATAACCTCCATCCCTTCTTCCTAAGTCTACCCTGTGGGGAGCCCAACATTAGTTCTTCCATAGGACAATCTTTTACACTTTTAAATATTTGAAAATGACCCTCTTGTTTTTCTTCAGCAACCTGCCACCTCCCACTTTGTTAGCATCACAACTGTTCCAGAACTCAAAAGATCAGTTTTAGGTTGTCAAAAGCATTATAAAATCTCTTGATATATATTTTTTCGGCTCACATTAACCTGCTGAGCAGCTAGACACACTAAACTCAATTTCTATTTACAGCCAGACCTCATATAGTGAACAGAAAAAAGCCGAATGGGGAAAAAGCTGAGACACAGGCCAAGCGAACAGGTGAAGATGACCGACACAGTCAGGGGTGGGCATGGGAACAGAGCCCAGGGGTCCTGACTCTTCATTTCTGTCTGGAAGACCGTTTAGTGTGATTACACACGCGGTGGGCAGAAATACCAGTGTGGTAGCCCAGGAGGACCTGAGAACCCTGTCATTACGCTGGCGCTGGAACTCCACCCACAGAGGTGGTGTTTCTTGGGAAGCCTCTTGCAAGAGGGGAAATCTAGCCTGCACCTTTCTTAGGATGTGCCAGGTGAAGTGGCAAATCTAACATCAAAAACAGAATTCATGGGTTGGAGAGGGGGAGTTTCCCCATACATCACAGAAGCTCTTGACCCTGGCAATGGAATTTGGGATGCTTGGATTCGGTTCCTGAGCCGCCGTAGCCCCCTACTCTGTGGATACGATGCCAGTCTAGAGGAGGCCCTCCTGTAAAAGGATGGCATCTAAGGGGACAGCCTCTGGACCAGGAAACTGAACCCACCCGGGTACCTGTGGATCCCCATCCAAGGCATGGCTTCAGTGACGCTCCATCAGGAGAGTTCCCCTGGGCACTTAGCAAGACATTTTAGCCTGACCCCAGAGACATCTCCCAGATTGAAATGCCTAGATGCTAAGCCACCAGGTCTGCAGAACCAGGATCAGAATCTAGGCATTGTGCTCCTGCTATGAGCCAGAGCCCACTAGCCCAAGTCAACGCCCAGTCTAACCAGGGGCTCTCTGACCCAGGGCCGGAGCTCAGGGGTGCACATTAACTCGGGAAATCATTGTGTCAAAGAAAACAGCATCTACTTAAAAGATCGTGCCCTGTCAGATGAACATCCAGGGAGGCAGGTATCATCTGCAGAGCATGTTTGGGAATGCCGGCCAGTGCCCAGACAAGTGACATGGGGCACCTGCCTCTCCAGCCTTCCCTCTGCCCTCCTGCCTCAGGCCCGACACAGTGGCATGTGGGACTTGTAGGAGGCTGGACTACACTGGCAGGGGGAGGCACCTGGGTTGGCTGCCACGCTCCCTCGGCTGACCTGTCTCATCAGACTTCTTGGCTAGTATCTGGCCAGCTTCCAATTCCCAAAAACCCCAGCTTTGGGACTGGGCCAGGTCCCTGGACAGCCCTAGCCCCTGCCCCAAGCCTTCCTCCAGCCCAGTCCAGCCGGGCTCTGGAATGCAGGCCGCAGCCATTACTGCAGCCTCAGCTTACACACCCATACAGAGCATCTTCCCCTTTTTTCTTTTAGATTTTTAACTCCTTCCCCACCACTCCCCTGGCACTGAAAGACTCCATTACAACCCCCAACCTCAGTCCTCACCACCCAAAGTCCTCAGAGCCACTCTTTCCGTGTCCCCAGAGTGGGCAAATGCCCCTCTAACTCTGCCTTTCTTGTCGGGAGCACCTCCTCCTGCAACTTCGGGGCCAGGCGGAGCCTCCAAACTCCCTTTATGATGCCATACTCCCTGGGCCCCCAACCAGACCCCTCCGGATGCGGGGAGTCCAGGGGAGGAGTCTGGGCTTGAGCCAAGGGCCTCAGCTGACACCTCTACCCCCAGGGGGCATCTCCCCTCCCCCTCAATAAGGCCGGGGCTTCCTCTTCCGGCAAGGAGGTCTTAAACCCTCGGGTGGGGCTGGCTAGCCCAGGCCCCTGCCCCAAGCCGCATGGGCCGCCACGTCCTGTGACCCTCTGCATGGGGGGCGGGAAGGCCCAGGCACTTTCGCCCCGTCATGCCCCCTTGCACGGGGGACAGAGGAAGCCTGCCTCAGCGGGCAGCGGGTCCCTCCTGTCCCGTGACCCCCTCGGTGCCAGCTAGTCACGGGGCACCAGCCGTGTCTCCCTGTCCCCCTTCCCGCCCCCAGCGTGCTCTCCAGACCGGGGCGGGAGAGCGGGTCGCGCGTCTCTCGGGTCCCCCACGGGCCGTGCTAGGCCCCAAGCGCCCGGGCCCGCTCCTCCCCCGCCCGGCGCCCGGCGGTGCCCGGCCATGCCAGGCGGCGACCCCGGCTCAACCGGGCGCTGTGCGGGCGTAGACAGGCCCGACCCTCGGCCCGCGCGCGTACCGCGATCACGTTGACGAAGGTGGTCTTGCCCGAGTACTGCAGCCCGACCAGCGTGAGCTCCATCTCCTCCTTCCAGAACAGGGCCTTAAACCAGTCCAGCAGCTTGTTGAACAAAGCGATCATGGTCGCTGCCGCCGGCCCCGCCCGGTGCCGGGTCCCCGTCGCCCCTCGCTGCCCTTGCGCTGCGGCCCGGAGCGGCCCCTCCCCGGTGCGGCCCGGGTCCCGCTGCTCGGTGCGGGCGGAGGTTGGAGCGCGGCGGCGGACGACTCGCGGTCCCCGGATCCGCTCGTCGATGGGTGTGGCTTCCGTGCCCTCCTCCTCCTCCGCCGCTGCCACCGCCCTCCCGCGCGGCCGGGGCCGGGTCCTGCTCGCACCCGCGCGCGCGCTCCTCCCTAGCCCGGAGCCAGGGGGCCGGGGCCAGCGGGTGGGCTGGGCGGGGAACCCACGGGCTTCAGGGGTCGAGACTGACTGGCAGCTGGCATAGGGGGGCATTTTAGGAAAGGGGTCTAATTTTATCTTTTCCCCTTCCTTGGCAGCCGCGCCCTGACTGGCACCCCCTTCCTTAGAGGGGTGGTGGCCCGAGGTGGGAGAGGTCCCGGTTAAGCAGGAGCGTTTCCAGGTTGAAGAAGAGGTGGTTCACCTACTTTCCAGGACACAAAAATAGATATCTATGAAAAGGAGGCAAATAGAGTCGTTTTGATCCCCGAACCCTTGCCTCTGAGCATCACTGGGTACTGAGTTCCATCTTCTCAAAATGTACTCAGGGGAGAGTAGCAACCGTATTTGGGTCTTCTAATACTCCATCTTGTTTTGTATACCACAATTTACCCAGACCACTTGTTTAGGAAGTCCCTGGCTCAACACGGTATAGATGTTTGAAGTTGATGCTGATTTTGACTATTATCACCATGCTATTGAAACAGATAAAATCCTGGTGGGGGCTTTCCAGCGAGGAAAATATGTGGGAAAGAAAAAAGTTGGCATGTCTTGGTAAAAACCAAAGTCTTTTTCAGGAGGAGACAGGGTGAGTGGTGTAGGGCCTGCCAAGATGCACCCCCTCGCCTGCCTGGCAGGGACTCATCTCAGGCCCTCTGCTAGTCCCAGACTTCAGGGCAATTAAGGTGCTCCTTAGATTTTGGTTTTCAAATGCACTCACATGTGGGCTGTTGTTTTAGTCAAAGGTGAATAAACTATTCCTATCAACCATATCTGTCAAACCTAAGCAAAAGTTAAAAAAAAAAAAAACCCAAAAAACCAGTTGTCATGCAATCTGACTCATGGTGACCCCATGTGTGTAAGAGCAGAGCTGTGCTCCACAGGGTTTTCAATGATTGATTTCTTGGAAGTAGATCACCAGGCCTTTCTTCTGAGGCATCTCTGGGTGGACTTGAACCTCCAACCTTTCAGTTAGCAACCAAGTGTATTAACTGTTGGCACCACCCAGGGACTCCAAGCAAGAGTTAGACAATCAGACAGTTTGCCCAAGTGGAGAAATCATAAAATCTTGCATAAGTATAATATTTTGGTTCCTTAAGCACCATCTTTCTAGCCTCTACTCTTTTTTTTTTTCCAATTGTTTTGGTAAAAATATATATAACAAAACATTTGCCAATTCAACAGTTTTTCCGTGTACTATTCAGTGACATTGAATATTTTCATAGTATTGTGCAGCCATCACCACTGTCCTTTTCCAGATTATTCCACCACCATTTAGCCTCGACTCTTCATAAATTCCTCTCTAGCTCCTTGGGTAGGCCTTCGTTCTATTTCCTAAACTGACTCCAGCTTGACTTTGTCTTATGTGCCCCTCAAAGTGCTACAAGTGGGGCATATCCCAGGAACAGATATCTGTAGCCTGTTCCTAGTTTGTGGAGTCTTAACTCTCCCTGTTGCTTTAAAGAAGCCCCAAAGGCCTGAGAAGAAGATGGAGAGAAGGAATGAATCAGTCATCCAAAAAGTCTTTATTTTCCCACTTGGTTACTTTTCCCGAGCTTGTACCCTCTAAGTTCTGGAACAGGGTTGGGGCAACAGCGACATGGAGGGGAGCTTCCCTCCTGGCTGGGTCTGAGCTCTGGGTAAGATCAGGCACTTAAGGGGTTCCCACCCAGCTTCCTTGGCACAGACTGTAAGTGCCTCTCACAGGGGTTGACCCCCTTCCTAGGGCTGTAAAGAAGGAGGAGTTCCTCAGTAAGGCCAAGCAGAAGCATTAAGAAAATTAAGCTTCAGTTTTAACACTGCATATTCTTCAGAAGAGATGTCATGAGTAAGGAGCCCAGCTCTCTCCAGGATCTAGCTCCTTGGGGATTTCCACGAAGAATTGGTATCAGCAGAATCAGATCCCAGAGGCGGAGTGCCGGGAGAAATGGCGCCTTACCTTCATCCCCAGAGGCAGCCATCTTAGACTCAAGGAGGGTGAAGGATTTGAATAGTTTCCTGGGATGTCTACTTCAGCCCTGAGATAGATCTGGGGTACCCTGGAAATTGTATGGATGCTGAAACGGATGAGGGGAGTTAACAGACTATGTGGGGTCCCAGTTCAGTCTGAGCCCCCATATCTGCATGGAGTGGTCATAAACCCCAGATTGTTTATCAAGATGAGAAAGCTCTCTAGGTATCTGCAAATGTAGGGGTGGGGGCTGGTTGTCTAAAACCAGGCGAAGTTCTTTGTCTCTTCTCCTCTTTCTTTTTTACTTCTTTAGTGCCCAGGGTATCATCTGAGGTCATAGAAGTAAGGCAGAGGATGCTGGGGCCTCTCTAGGGAGTAGTTGGGATGAGTGGCTGGCAATTACAGCTCTGGGCTTCTGAGGGGGACCTCCAACTTTTCTCTTCCCAGAGATTTCAATTGCTTGACCTGGCCACCTTGTACACATGTATGGAAGGAGGGATGATCTGGATCCTTGTCCTGTTTGGTGGGTGTCTGGCCCTCACAGATGGGTAATGGGGGAGCAGGGAATCAAGGCTAGCATGTTGAGCACTTGACTGAGGTCAGGACCAGACTCTCCCAGCTCTTGCATCTGGCCTGTGCTTGGGCAGGGGCAGGGTCTGGTGGAATACGCTCTTGAATCACCCTCTTGCCAGTCACAGGAAGGGAATGGCTTCTAGGAACTTCTCTGATTGCTTCCTTGTATGGCAGCAGAGCACTTAATGTCCATGTTATAGACGAGCAGACTGAAGCTCACAAAGAGAAGACCAGACACCTGGACTTCTTTCTCAGGTTTGTCGTAAGTGCCAGCTCGTATCTTTAAGTTCAGAGAGACATGGGAGGTCCCCGCCATCGTCTGCTTGGAGGCACTAGAGAAAACTGAGGAGCGGCCAGTGTTGAAGACCTGGAGTCTGGCCCCTCATCTTGCTGATGAAGCTTCCTGTGGCTGCAAGAGCTCGCTGAAGATGCATTTGTTCTTCATGCCCACCCAGAGGTGCCCCAGGTCACACAGTCTACTTTCCTGAGACCCACTTTCTGAGGTTTGAAGGAAAGTTGGCACCTGGGCTGGTGGAGGGTGGGAGGGGTCAGGGGCTGGACTCCTCGGGCAGCTGGGCCGCATACAGGGCCAAAGTGTGGTGCAGGAACTGGTATTGCTCCGTGGTCTGGATCATCCCCCCTCTGCCGGGAGAAACAAACAGACCATGAGTCAAGGAGGGTCAGAGGGTTTGCTAAATGGCTTGTAGTTCTATGGGGAAAAGTCTTGACTTTTCCAGAGAAAACATCGGCTTTTTCACATGTATCCGTCCTCTCTACTTCTTACTCCTTGCTGCCCCTCATATCTCTCCCCATGAGGGAAGCCCCTCTGACCCTTACTCAGGGCTGAGCTGGTGGCTGGATACTAAGGAGAACATGCTCCCCACTGGCCCTCCCTTGTCCACTCATTTCCTGGGCAGAACCAGGTCTCAGATTTCTCAGGCTAGGCCAGGAATATTCCTGAGCCCCAAGTTATCTTCTTTCTACCAGTCTTAAAAGTAAAACTAGTAACCCCATGTATTTGTAATGTAGGTCCCATTTTCCAAAACACTCTAACGTAAGTTAAGTCATTCCTTACAGCAACTCTCTGGGGAAGGGGTCATTATCTCTCTCTAGTTAAAAGAAATAGGGGCCTAGAGAAATGTACTGACAGCTCAGTAAGCTACAAGTCAGAATTTGAACCTTGGTCATCTGTCTCCAAACCCGGTGATCTTCAGTCCATTACCTGTGACTGCTTAGTATCGAGAACTAACCATACCCTTATTCTTCCAGCTTTCTCCTGAGTAGGGAATTTGGAAAAAAATAATTTTTTTTTGAAGGCTCAGGGTAAATCCATAGAGTATCGTATTTAATTTTAGCCTCCCAAGCTAAAATTCCAGATAGAGATTTATTTCTTGGGTGTTAGTTGGAAAATAAACAGCTCTTTCGCAAAGGGGCCCCTTCCTTTCTCTCAGGAAGTGCTTGATAGCGATGTGTCTGTATGAGCTCCAACACCCAGTAGGCACCAGCGCCACTGTTTAAAGGTACTGTTGTTGGTCCTATTTACCAGAGGTGTAGCGAGGGTAACGAGTGCCCAGGGGCAAGCTATAGATTGCGCCCCTCCCAGTTTTGAGATGACTAGAGATCAATAGGGCGAGTAGTCCGCAGAAACACCTCCCTCTCTGGTCCACTGCCTCAGTCAGGCGCCTTTCATACCTGTGGCGCCTCAGAATGTCATTCCATGGCTTGTCTGGTGCCCGCTTGGACTTGTGCCCAGGGGCAAGTGTCCACCTCTGCCCCCCCACCCTTGCTACGCCTCTGCTATGTACATCCATGGACCTACCTGTCCAGCCGCAGTTGGCACACGATGCCCAGAATGTCCACTTCTCCTCTGGCCCTCAGCTGCTGGCAGCCAATTCTGGTGGCGATGAAGCAGCCAGTGCGGCCAATCCCTGCACTGGACATAGGCAGGGAGAAAGGGTGGCGGGGGTCACAGGTGACCAGGGAACGTGGAGGCCAGGTGACCAGGCAATATGGAAGCCAGGTGACCAGGGAACATGGAGGCCAGGCCCCAATTATGGAGAAAGCAATGGGACCCAAGGGCACTCTATTTTGGGGGTGGGGGCATGGGGATGGAAGAAAGTAGCAATACCTTGCAGGTTTCTGGACCCCTTGGGGGCCCTGATGGAGACAGGTTATAGCTGGCACTAGAGGAGTTTACATTTCGTACCAGCCTCACTCTAAGCCTGTTCCAGGACACCCTCTTGTTCCTGTGGCCTTTTTGATGAGCTGTCTTCTGCTTGGCAGACTATAGTGGTTTCCAACTGACAGTCTCTCATTTGTTCACTTACTGACCCTTGAGCCCGCCTTATCTAACCGTGACTTCCTCCCAGCTCAGGCTCATCTTCCACAACTTACGCTTACGCTCAGCCCTTTCTGTTTCCCCCCTCTGTCCTTCCCCCAGTCCTCCTCTCTCTAAGCCACTCTATCCTGGCCTTTTCTTTATTTCCAAACCCCTCTCTGGCCTTCCCTTCTCTAGGAAGTCTTCTTGTGTGAGCCCCTGTTAGAAGCCACTAATGACCTCCCAGACCTGGGTTGAGGTACCACCCCTGGATGGGCTTATGAGCTCCCTCTTTGTATTTGTCTCTCTGTTCTGTTTTATCTAGGATAAAAATATAAAAAACAAAACAAAAACCCATTGCCATCAAGTCGATTCTGACTCATAGCGACCCTATAGGATATGCACTCCCAAATGGTCTCCTTGTTTGAAGTCTGTCCTGCATCATGGGACACTGGTCCCTCCCTACCTGCATTACCTTCCGCCCCAGCCCCATCCACTTTTCACTCTGCTGTCCTAATATTGCTTTTAAATAGCAAATCCAAGCTTCTTAGCCAGTCCTACAAGGCCCCTCACTACCTGGCCTTCGCTTACTTTTCAGCTTTGTCCCTCATCACTATCCCCTACGTGACCTCCAGGATCCGTTCTCTAACTCTGCTGTCCTCAATGCATCATGTTTTTTTTTATCCCTGGGGCTTTGCACATGCTGTTCCATCTGTCTGGAACACTCCATCTTCCTGGAAGACTTCCCCTTTTCCCTCTTCACTTGGCTAATTCATCCTTTGGGTCTTAACTTATCCTAGATGTCCTTTCTCCTGGAACATCTTCTCTGGCCAAAGTCTGGGTTAGGCAATCTGGTTCTGTGCTCCCTGCACTACCCCCATCATAGCTCTCATCATGCTGTGGTGCATTTAATTGTTTAATCTGCTGTTTTCCCCACCACACAGTGAGCCAGTGTAAGGGCAGAAACCAAATGCTCATGGCTCTCTCCCTGGCACCTAACACTGTGCCTGAAACAAATCGGTTTTTGAGAAATATTTGTTGAATGAATAAATGAGCTCCTCAACAGTAGAGACTATGTTTATCTCCTTCCCCAGCAGACTAGGTGCTACCTGATAGTCCATCCTCTCTCTGAATTGGGCCTAGGTGTCCAGCCCAGCTGTCTGGGCTCTGCACAAAAGAGATCATAGGAACAAAGCACTGGCTGAGTGACCTAGAGATTCCTGTCCAAGTAAGAGCTGGGCCTGCTGGACGCTTAGGAAGGGCAGGGGGCTGTGGTAAAGGGGCTGCCATGGAGGGAGGGCCACGTACCTGCAGTGGACCACTATGGGCCCGGTGTTAGCAGCTGTCTCTGGGCTCTCTTCCACCTCAGCCACCAGACGCAGCAGAGGCCCAGCCGACTCTGGGGTCTGGTGGTCAGGCCAGGCTGAGAAGAGGACATGCTTCACTGACCGGCACTTCTCCTGGTACTGGGATGGGACAAGTGTGGGAACCAGGTCAGGGTGGGGGCACTGCCTGCCTTCTCTGGTGCAGAGGAGGCCAAGGGCTGGAATTACTCTGTGGGGAATTCATCAACCAGCAACAGGGAAGATCAGCTCTTTTCTTGCTTATACTCCACCACTGTCTCCTCCGAAATGCTAGGAAGGAGTATTGTCCAGGAAGACAGAAAAGACTCAAGTTCAAGTCCTGGCTCTGCCTCTTAACAAGTGCTTGACTTTGAGTGAGTCCTTTAACCTCATTTTTTTCACCTTTATCTTACTGGTTTACTTCACAGGATGCTTTGAGGATAATGAGTTGATAAATCAGTTGCCGTTAAGCTGATTCCAACTCATGGCGACCCCAGGTGTTTCAGAGTAGAACTGTGCTCCACAGGGTTTTCAATGGCTGGGATCTTTTGGAGGCAGATTATCGGGTCTTTCTTCTGAGGCACCAACCTTTTAGTTAGTAGCCGAGCCCTTAACCGTTTGCTACACCCAGGGACTCCCAATGAGTTGATAGATAAATGCTTTGAAAAATGTAAAACATCATACAGTAATAGAAGGCATTTTTAAAGCACGTTTATTATACATCTCTTTCAACCTCCTGTCACTCCTTCAGCATGATTCCTGGACGCCCTACCTCTTCTCACCTGGACCATTCAGCATGGGCTGTCAGTGCCACTGACTCGGGCCTGATGTCCAGAGATGCTAGGGGTGGCCCACCTTCCCTGGGGAACAGTCCTGGCCCCAGAGGGTGGTACCTGGATGGTGAGCTGCCGCACAGTGTATTCTGGGCGCTCCTTCATGTCCTGGATGCGGATCTGGAAGGGTCCATAAATTTCCTCTTCTGTGGGCCAGTAGTGGACACATTTCTAGGAGGAAGGGAGCTGGGAGTCAGAAGGGGGAAGGGTCTATCAGCTGGAGCAGGGGCTGGGGCAGTAGAAAGGGGCATGGTACCCCTCTCCATTTTCTACCTCAATTGGAGGGGCTGGACACTGCCTGGGTAAGCAGCGGGGGCCTGGGTCTCCTGAGCTTGACACCTGTGGACAAAGTGCCCACCTCATCCCACTTCTGACGGTGGACAGTCTCCATGGGGTGGGTCTCACAAACCTTTCTGAGAGGCATGTGCTGGGCTGGCTATAGGTATTTTCAGCTCCTGGGGGAACCCTTGGTCCTGAGTTGCCCTGGGTAGGCGTGTGTGTGTGGTGGTGTAGGGTGTAGCCTTTTCTGGGTTCGTCAAGGACTGTGGCTCTGCCTCCTACCTCCTTGCCTTCTCGGAGCTGAGTGAGCATGACAATGAGGGACACTTCTTCTTGCCACACCATCTCCCAGAAGTCCGCCACCGTGTTGGGCATGGGGCCCTGGGTTGCAATGTAGACCTTCTCCTGCCCGTCATAGCCCTGGGGAGGTAGACACACGTGAGAAGGGGTGGGCAGAGCAGTGAGCGTAGAGCTTAGAGGGAATCCCAGACCCTGCAGGTCCTAGGATCAGGCTGAAGTCAGTGAGCACACACATGCACACATGTGTGCACATATACACACACATGCACGCACACACACAGACGCCACGCGGTGGAAAGGACACGGGCTCTGGTGTGAGGAACATTTAGGTTAAATACCCGTTTTGCTGTTTACTAGCTGTATGATTATAAGCAAGTTACTTGGCCTTTTTAAGCCTCAGTTTTCTCATCTGTAAATTGAGCATCGTAGTTTCTACCTTGCAAGAACGTGATGTGGGTTATTGAGAGTCTGGCATATAGTAGGTGCTCTATAAATGTTTGTCCTGTTGCTCCCTTTCTTCTTTCTACTCATCCAAAACACCAGCAAAAAAAAAAACAGTGTTCAGAAGTATTTGTCAAATGAATGTTTCACTTTTACATATTACTTTTATATATTTAGTAGCAAAATGTAGTGTACTGTCCTTAGCAATTCTTTCTCCCTTTCAGCATCCTCAGCTTTTAGCTCCACAAGATGGTGGTGAAATCCGACCGCTGGTCCCCCAGGTTCGGCTGGCGAATGGGAGACCACGTTCTCCCACGGCACCTCTGGCTGACCGTGTTTCACCTCTCTGCACGCCCAATCACTGTCCTACCCACTTTAGGCCACTAGAGAGCGCTGCTTTTACGTCTATTTAGGGCCAATAGAGATGAGAAGCCAGGGATAGACAGCCCACCTTGCTTCTGGGTCCTATGACTTGACACCATCTCCACAAAGGAGGGGCTACTTAAGGCAGTTAAGGCCAGAAAGAAAAAAAAGACAGCTGAGAGCTCCCAATTATGCTGGTATCTCCCAGGCCGACCCCAGAGCCATTAGCTCTCAAGAAGCCAGGGACTGGGTTCAGCAATGCCATCTCCCTGCCACGTTTAGAGGGTTGGCTGTGGAGGAGATGGGGTGATAGGGTGGGTTAAAGAGACTTAGTGGTCTCTTCTTTTCAAAATTGTTTAACATGTGCTGTGTTTTCTAGGTTGGTGTCCCGGGCCTCTTCAGCATCCCAGCTCAGCAGGGCTATGGCAGGAGTGAGACGGAGCAGGGAAGGAAACCCAGACACCAGAACCACGCAGCCACAGCTGGACCACGCAGGCCCCCAACTCCCCACACGGCCACCCGCAGCCAGGCCAACTCACTCGGATGTAGTTGGCATTGATGTAGTCTCCATTATCTTGGTTCTGTGCCCGGCCTAGGCAGACACGGCTCTGGGGATCTAGGAAGTAAAAACCAGCAGAAGTCAGAGGTCCAAAGGTGACCAGCTAATGCAGACTCCCAACAGGATCAGAAAGAGGAGAGTTCCAGTGCTTGTCCCAGTACCTTGTATATAGAAGGTGGCTGAGACCCACTGAATTGTTTGACACATAGACAACAGAGAGCCACAGAATGTTTTTGAGCAGTAGAGTGACATGATCAAAGCAATAATTTGGGAAGGTCAGCTGGGTGGTGCCGTGTAGAATGGACCAAAGAGGAAAGGGAAAGGAGCAGGAAAGACCAAATGAGATTAATGTAACAGTCTAGCCTTGAGATCAGTAATGGCGTGGAGTGGAATTGTAGCAACAGACACAGAAAAAGAGATGTGGTAGAGGAAGCATTTTTTTCTGGTGGTGAATATGGGGTTTAGATAAGTGACTTGTGTAAGGTTACACATTGGCGAAGTGGGACTAAACCCTGGTTTCATTCAGCCCACCACTGACTGAGGGTGCCAGCCCCTCCCTCTAGCTCAGAGGGGGTTTCTTCAAGTCTAACCCAAGCAGGAATGAAGAAGCTAGCTTGTGAGGAAAGCAGGGGAGACTCTCAATCCCCCTGAGCCAGCCTGGTTCTGAACGGAGGGAACCCGAAGGGAAATCTCGGGCAGAGGGACCTCTCCCCTCTCTGGTGGTTGGAGAGCTGGTTGGAATTAGGCCAAGAGTAAGGGCTGCCTCCCCTCCCTCTTCAATGAGTGATAATGGCCCCTTGACCGTCCATGCAGGCAGAGGGCACACTGGGACGCTGGCAGGGTTAGCACGGGCAGGAGCAGAGCACTCAGGCTGAGCTCCGGCCGCGAGACTGGAAACTGCCAGAGATGGGCTGGGCAGATAAGGCTGCTGTGTGGGGTAGGGAAATCCCTGGGTTGTGCAAATGGTTAACGCGCTCTGCTGCTATCTGAAAGGTTGGAGGTTTGAGTTCACCCAGAGGCATATTGAAAGAAAGGTCTGGCAATATACTCCTGAAAAATCAGCCATTGAAAACCCTATGGAGCACAGTTCTGCTCCGACACGCATGGGGTTGCCATCAGCTGGAGTCGACTCAACCGCAACTCGTTTTGGTTGGTGGGGATAAGGGCAGTGAGGGAGAATCTCCAAGGACCTCGTGGTCAGAGGGCTTCATACCTGCCTCTGAAAAATAGGAAGTGCTCAGCCCAGGGTCTGTGGAGCTTGTGAGGTCAAGTCCCGGCAGTGCAGCGTCCTCTGTCCCCAACCTTGTCACTGCCCTCTTGCTAGTCACTGCCCTGCATGCATTCTGAGTTTCCTCACAACTCTCTCTCTGGGACCCGTCCTAACAGTGCCTCTTTCATTGCAAGCCTTTGCTGGGCTTTTCCTACATGGAGTGAAGACGAGGAGGAAGGTTTGGTGCAACTAGCTGTGTGACCTTGGGCAAGGTATGCAATTTCCCTGCGCCTCGGTTTCCTTATTTGTAAAACGAGGAAAACAATACTCTAGGACCAATGTCAGGGGGTTAATGTGAGAAACAAGTCAATAGGGAGGACTTATAGAAGGGCACGGCCCGCTGTAAGCATCTACAAACATTAACCGCGTCGTTGTTGTTGTTGTGACTATGACCCCTTCATCCCCCAGCTGGGGTGTGGTGTTCCTCTGCTGAAAGGAGATGTCCCCTGGCTGACACCTGGCTGAGGCCATGCATCTTGCCTTCTGAACTTCGCCAGCCCCTGGGACAATGCCCATCACCCTTGATCCCTACCACAGTCCTTACTTGGCAAGATGGTCTTGTATCGGTCCTTAGAGGCGTGGCCTGGGATGTCTAGCTCTTCAGGATTGACAAAGTTCGAGGGGATCTTCTGGCAGGGGGAGGAGATGAGAGAATAGTTGATACCCCTCCTAGCCTCCTTTTCTCCCCTCCATCCTTTTCTAGTAGAGTTGGGACCCTGGCCCATTCCTTCCTGGCATCAGTATGTAGGTCGGGATGGGGTGGAGGGCAGAAGAGGAAGCAGGGGCCAGCCTCCTCCCCAGAGCCCTGGGGCTGTCTTTCCTAAGGGGCCCAAAGAGGGGACATGTCTGTGGTATCCATGATAGAATGGTGCCAGCTGACTGCCTCTGACTTAGAAGGGCAGGATGACTTAGAGGGTACCCCAAGTTCTTACCATGAATTCCTCCTCCAGCTGTCTGGGGCTGGGTGGCTGGTGCTGCAGGGCCCAGCGTGAGAGGGGGTGCCCAGCCGTGCGCAGATAGTGGAGGGTGGCTTCCCGGGGCGTGTTCACCGAGCAGATGGGCTCCACGGCCCCCAGGGACCTCACGTCCAGCATCAGAGCTATGTTGGAGCCCCGCCTGCAGGCACAGCCAACCACTGCCCAGTAAGCGCCCGAAAATATTTGTTCTTCTTACTATTATTATTGTTACAGGGTGCATTTGAGTGGGCCGCTCCTTGTCTTTCCCCGGGCCCAGAGGCTGAATGAGTTCAAGGGCTCAGGCCACTGCTGCTGCCCTCTTCCCCCATCAGCTGCCCCCAGGACAGTGCAGGGTTGAAGCCAGTTGCTCTCCCCAGTTGCCCACCGCTTCCTACTCCTCACCAGACCCGTAAGGCTCAGACCTACATCCAGCCCCAAGGAGGCCCCAGGCTTTGCCCCAGGAGCTGCTTAAGCCAACCTGGGGTTTGGGAAGCAGGCGCAGGGTTGACATGAAACCTCGGGCCCCAGACATGAAAATAATATGTAAATGAACACAGTTGGTTTCCTTTCCAGAGTGGAGTCAACAACTGAGGGTCCTCTGCACTGTCAGCTGAAGAGAAGGTGGAGGAGAGGGAGGAGCCAAGGGTCCCAGGCCAGGAAGGCCCTCTCTTCCAGGAAAGACCTTACCTCTCCTGCAGCCTAACATGCTTCTTGGCTGGCGCTTTGTCGGGCAAAGGCTGGGTCATGGCTGCCCCCAAATACACGGTCGGTGGCTGTGCTCTGGAGCGCCCCCCACAGGGCTGGACCATGCTGAGATGGGTGGGGGGCCCAGGGGAGGCTCACTCAGCCATGGGGTTTGCCTGAAAGACATAGCCCCTCAGCTGCTGATCTCTGCCCTCCCTGATTGGCCAAGCCCCGTGGCACCTCTGTTTTCACTGGGGGTGTCTTCTGTTCTCCAAAAAGTGGCCTCAGTTTCACCAGGGGAAGAACAGGGTCTCTGCAGTGTGACTCAGGGTGGCGGACAGTCTGGGGTTAGATGAAGGGCAAGATAAAGGGTAGAATTGTGGATGGAGATAGGAAAGAATCCAGAGGGAGGAAGAGAGGGGAGGAGGGACGGCCAGGGCCCAGAACACCCAGGCTGTAAGCTGGGTGCCTGAGAGAGAAGGCAAGGGAGGAAATACGAAATATGTACTCTACATAGACAGAGGGGAGAAAGCTCTGGAAACCTCCTGTAGGTCTGGCCAGCGTGCCTTCTCCTGCAGAATGAGGAATTTGAGGCCTCGGCAGTGTTGGAGCCAGTTGGGGACCCATGCACTCAGGGCTGCGGGCCCCTAGCAGGGCCTGCTCCTAACTGCGGGCAGTTCCTCTCCCAAGTTCATTGCTGGCTTCTGGGGTCTCTGTCCATGGAGGTAGGCTGGGGGTGTTTCCTTCCTCCTCCTGCCCATCCCCCCGCTCCCGCCTCTGTAACCGTCACAGGAAATGGCCTCACCAAGCCCTTGAGCGACAGCGCATGGTGAGACGACAGCTTGGGGCGATATGGGGTATGAAGGTGTTTGCGCCATCTCCTCGTGGGAGGCGATCCCCATCTTCCAGGGCTACTCTACCAAGTGGGGGCAGGGAGGTGTTGGAGGAGCTAAGGCCGCAGGCCCTGAGGTGAGGGCTCAGAGCTGACCAGAGCAGATGTGGGGGGTAAGCTCTCCCACAACAGGAGGGGGCGGTTGAGCGTCTGCTCTCCTTGCAGCTCCCTGCAGCTTCCCCGCCCTCCCAGCGCAGGGCCACCAGATATGTCAGCACCCATTCCCTGGCCAGGCACCGGAGCACCCAACTAGCCCGCTCACGTCCCCTCCTCCGAGATGCCCTCCCGTCTCCCCCAGGGTTCACGCCACCTCAGAGCCTCAAGGACTCCCACTCCCCCCGCTCAGTACTCACTGAAGCAGCTGTGTCCCCCAGGCTGCCTCTTGCCAGCTGTCTGTCTATCGGTCTGTCTTTGAGGGCTGAGAAGGCTTCAGGAAGCCAGCTTCCTCCCTCCGCCCCTCCTTGCTGCCACCCACGCACACCCCAGCTGCACGCTGCCCTCCTGCGCCTGCTGCTGCTGTCACCAGGGGTCGATGTTCCTGCCTGTGCCCATCTGGGGGCAGGATGACAGTCACTCAGCACCTTTGCCGTGGGCCAAGGCCCTGCTCCCTGGGGATGGATGAGGGGCTGAGCCTTCCCTGACCACCCTGTTTCCCGAGTTCCCAAACCGTCTTCCCTCCTGCAGTGTCCCTCCTCTGGGGCTTTGTCATGTCCAGCCTCTGCCTATTTGCTGGGAATTCGTGGTCAAGCACAAGCTACATCTGCCCAGAGCAGATGTGGGCACAGACTTGGGGTGGGGTGAGGAAGAGATGAGTGGGAATCCTTGCTCCACAGCAGGAGGGAAAGGCCCAGGCCCAAGTCAGGAAAGGCCTGAGCCACAGCCCAGCTCTCAGCTACCTCTGGCCAGAGGATAGACCAGCCAGCCAGGGAGCAGACTGCAGAGACAACTTGTAGGAGCATCTGGGGGCTCCCCCACAGCATCCTCGGTTCCCTCTAGGCCTCCTGCCAGAAACCTGATACCTACTCAGAAGACTTACAGAGAGTGGGCAGTCTCTGGCCCTCACACCGGGGACTCCCATGTCCTCTTCACCGCTGGGGTGCCTGGTCACCCGGGGTCTGGGGAGTGGCCCCCAAGTCCAAGACTCCACTGTCCCCAGTCCTGGCCTGGCCTGGACAGGCCCCTTGCTGGCCAGCAGCCCTGCCGGTTCATGCTTGCTGCAGGTCTCTTCTTACCTTGTGACATTCCAAACACCCTTCCCTTCCCGGCCCCCAACACACACAATCCCGTCCTCTCTCTTCCTCCTACTTCTCTGCTTCAGCTGTCAAATGGTGACAGCAAAGAAGAAACGATGCACAGCAGGCACAGGGGGTGGGCATGGGGGAGGGGGTAGTGGGGAGAGGGCTGGCCTTTCGGTGGCCCATGAGGGAGGAGGGATGAAATGAAGAGCGAGGGTGACTTTTTGGGGCTCTGGAGGCCACCGAACCCCTAGCCTTGCCCTTGGCATGAGGGCCCGGGACTGGTTCTTTTCTGAGCCCCTCTGTTAGCCAGTTGATCCTGGCTTCTTCACGACTGAACCTGGGCTCCTCTGGAGAGTGGGTGGGTTTCCCTGGGAGGGCTTATGAGAAGCTGGTGAGGCAGTTGGCTCTGGTACCCTAGATGGGTTGGGGGGAATGAAGCAGGAACCTGGGAATCCCAACTGGACTTGTGGGCAGTGACCTGAGACTGGCCTCTGCTTCAACTACCCCCTCAAAATGGTTAGTATTTCCTGAGATAGTGGTGGCCCCGGGGATAGAAGAGAGGTGGGGGCAGGAGGGGATTTGAAAGAGGGCCACCCCCTCTAGGCCGAGTTGCCGATTGTTATCAAGAACAGGAAGCTAGGATACCACAGGGGTGTGGGAGGAGGAAGCGGGCAAAAGCCCTCCCCATACTGGCCCCCAATGTTGCCCCAGGTTTCCATGGTCTGAGCCCCGCCGGCCGTGGGCACACCTCCAGCTCCTCATGAGGCTGGTGCTCAACAGTGGCTCCAGCAGGTGCGAGCTGAGCTCTAGGGTGACAGCAAGGGTGCTGGGAGCCAGAGACGAGGAAGGCAGTTGGTGGGGAGAGGAGTGAGGGTTAATGGTTAGGGATTAGGCAAGACCCCAAGAGTCTCCCAGTTCCCTTAGGGTGTGTGCGTGGGGGGATAGTCACTCCTTGCTTCCTGCCCACTCCCTCCCCCTTTCCACTTACAAGTGCCTGGACATTCATGGAGGTGTGTAGCCAAAGCTGAGGAGGGGCGGGGGCACCGAACACAGACAGGGCAAGACATGTGTCATCTCTGAAGCAGCCCCTCCTCAGTTGGGCTCAGGACTAGGACCCTCTGGCCTCTCTGGAGTGCACTGTGGAAGGAGGGAAGGCCTTGAGGCCCCTGGGAGTGACTTCGTCTCCTCTCCCCTCCAAAAGCTACCCACCACTGGGTGGAACTGCCCCAGGCAGCTCTCTCTCCTCACTCAAATTGCTGACTTGCCCTCCTGAGTTAAGACTTAGGTGCCAGCGACCCTCAACTCCCAAGAAAGTGCAGTAATGGGTGAGTCAGAAAGACCGGCGGGTAAGTCTAAGCTGTGGCTCATTAGCTGTGTGACCCTGGGCAAGTTCACTGAGCCTTGGTCTCCTACTCAGGTTCCTCCTCCCCAGGGGGGCTGATGATAGCACTTCCCTCGTCCGGGTCAACCTTGTGAATGATGTCCCAAGTGGGGCTGGTGAGGTGCTTTGGGCACAGCAAGTGTGCTGAGCTGTCCGCTGAGAAACGGGAGGGGGCTGGGGAGCAGCATCTGGGGGGAAGGAACCACGGGTCACTGAGTTCACCACTCACTGGACTCTTGCCCCTTCCTGCTTGCTGCCTTGCTTTCTGCAGCCAGCCTTTTGGCAGAGGATGCCTAGGGTAGTTCTATCTCAGGGGTGGGCAGCTACTGGAGGACAGAAGTCACTCCCAGGAGCCTCCAGGTCTACTCCCCACCCCTCCCAGAGTGCACCCCAGAGAGGCCAGAAGTGTCCCAGTCCCCAGACCTAGCTGGGGAGGGGCTGCTACAGGGCATGACACACGCCTTGTCCCTTCTGTGCTCAGTGCCCTCACCCCGCCTGAGCTCTAGCCACACACCTCTAGACTCTCCTGCCTCCCTCCTGATCCAGGGGCCGAGAGCCACAACTCCCTGTTGTCTGTCAGAAGCCCCTCAGGTGGAGCAGACATATCCAGAGTTCCCAGAAGTCGTTGCTCCCTGGCAACACCTAGGGAACGGGGAGCCCCTAGTCAGGTTGCTGCCAGCCCCCAGAGGCAAAAGCTGCCACGCTATAAAATTCCAGGGGGTAGAGGATCCTGGAGAAAGGGCCAGGACAGGGGTCAGGACTCCTGGGTTCTGCACACTCCCTTCTTAGTTCGCCTCCTCAGTTCCTCTCTGGAGAAGCTCCAGGATCCTAGGTGGCTGCCCTGAGCCCCCAGCCCCCCAAATCCTGGGCCAGGCTAGGCCAGCTTCTTCTTCCTCGTCTTTACAGGCCCAGGCTTGTCCCTGGGCTGTGTTGGGGAGACAGAGACACAGAGAGCCGGGATCCAGGAGGCTCACCCAGGAAGAGGCAGGGAGACACCAGAGGAGATACTTGGTGAGTGGGGCAGAGAAGTGCTGATAGGGCAGTGGGAGTGGAGGGCTGAGGGAGGAGGGGACCCACTGGGCATGCACCACAGCCACACCTCTGTGCCAGGCCATCCCGGCTGCCCATCCCCCACCCCCGCCTGGTTTCCCTGCCATCTTTTGGTGCCTGCTGGTGACGGGGACTTTCCCATACCCCTCACCCCTGGCTGAGAGGACCAGGGAGCCAGGCCAGCGTCGCACGCGGGAGCCAGGCACAGCCTCCTGGAGCTCCGCAGGTTCCTTGCCTGGATGATGGAACTCAGGATCCGGCCAGGAGCCAGTGAAACGTGCATCTGTTCCACTGTGTGGCCCTTTCTTCCCAGGGGCCCTCTTGTCTCCCTCTACCCTCCCTGTTGTCCCGAGACGCCCACACAGGCACGCTGACCTCCATCCAGACAGGTATGTGCATCCCTGTGGCCCACGCACAGGCATGTGCTGCACTACATACACACATACACCGACAGATGCACTGCAGCCGGGCGGCCTGCCGCCTCCAGCCCTGCTGCCTTCCCACAGCCTGGGCAGTGGGACCGAGGCCCTCCCAGTCGCCGGTGACCTTCCCCAGAGTGTGGGAGGGAGAATGAGCAACTTCCCTGTCCGAGCCACCCTGGCTCTCTCCTGCTTGTGATTGTCACCCTCAGCGTGGGGGTGCCCAAGGTCTGGCTTCAGCCTGTGGGAGTGGAGGGGAGGGGCCGGAAGAGGGCTGCCAGGATCACTGTGGGGAGAGACCAGGCTGGCTCACGTTTGGGAGCCAGGACGTCTGGACCTGCACCCTGCCCTCTCCGGAAGGAATCAGTAAGATGCTCTGAGGCCTCAGTAGGACCCCATGGGTTCTCTAGGGAGAGGATGTGGGTTTGTCTATGGGGGTGGTTGCCAGGGGAGGGGAGAGACAGCCCTGTGATACTTTTTTTGCTGAATGGAGAGGCTTGGGCTGAGGAGGCTGCTTCTTATCTCTAAGAACCGGTTTTCACCCTCTCTGGAGCCCCCTCTCCCATCTCCAGGGCTACCCCAGACTGAGTGGGGGCGCTGGCATGTGTGCCTTCTGTGGCCAGGTGCCTCCCTTACTGAAACGTGTGTCCCATTACATCCCCTCTATTAGATTATGAATTAGCATGTTTCTACTCCACTTCTTCTTCTCTTGGCCTCTGCTGATCAAGACTCTGTGAGAAGGAGCAAAGCGAGGTGCCCACAGGTGAGGTGGGACAGGGTAGACGGGACGAGGGTAGGACGTTTCCCCTGCTTATTGGCCAGACTGGAACTTCTCCCTTTCACATCAGTTTCCCTAGTTGCTAACCCCCACCTTTTTTGAAAGAGCACGCGCGCACACGCACACACACACACACAGCCTGGAAAATCTGATGAGTCTGCAATGCCGACTTTCCAGGCCCCCATCCATGGGCCGGGTGGGTGGCTCTGAGGTTTGGGGCTGGGTGGATGGGGGAGGAGCAGCAGCCCCTCGCTCAGCTTGAGCAGGGAGTGAGGCTGAGCTGGCCTCTGAGCAGGCCAATCCTCCATACCGGGGCCAACCTCAGAGACTGGCTGCCATAGAAGCTGTCTTGCTATTCAGAGTTTCTGTACCTGCCTCTTCCCCTCAGTTTCCCTCCTCCCCACTTCCTGAGTTTTCATCTGAGTCCTGGGCTTCTTTCCCAGGGCCCAGAGCCATTTCTTCTTCTGCTCTCCCTCCCCGCCCCACCTCAGCTGTCTTGGGGTGGGGGCACCTGAGTGAGCAGCTTGAGGTGGGTAGCTGACTGCAGGCTGGGGTGAAGACATGCTTCAAGCTCCGAGTCTTCTAGCCCAGGTGTCTGCAGTGCCTGGCAGCCAGGTGGGCCTGGGAGGGGGCCCAGGAAACTGGTCTGGGCCCCCGCTGACCGAAGTAGTGGGAGGTGGGGGAAAGACAAGCATAAATCCCAGGGATTTGGCCCACTCCTCAGAGGTCTTCCATTGGAAGGTCCCCAATGTGGGAAGGTGAGGAGCAGGCAGGTGGTGCTGTCCCTGTTCATTGGAGTCAGAAGCATCAGGTTGAAGTCCAGCTCCTCTCCTCACACCCGGTGGGCCGGGCTCTGCCCCTCTCTGGATCTCAGCTTCCTCATCTGGCAATAAGAGGGTTGGACTGAGGGCCAGGTGGGCTCTTCTAGGCCTAACATCGCTGTGACTCAGTCCTCCAGGATGCTTTCCTGTACATCTTGTCCACAAGAGCATGGGGCCACACGGATCCACAAGGAGGGACCCACACTCATAGTGACCCGTCCACCCAGCACACAGGGATACACATTCATACAGATGTTACTAGGACCACACACACACACACACACACACACACACAGAGAGAGACACAAATGCCCCATCTATCTCCCACATGTTGATGGAGCCAATAGACACCACAGTCCTCTTCCAGACCAGGGCGTGGAGAGCCAGCCCACTCCACTATGTTCACCCACCCACGAGACCATCTCGCCTCCTTTTCTCCACAGAGCACAGGACATTTTCCTCCCTGGAAGTGGGGCAGAGGTGGGGGAGGCAGAGGGAGGAGATAGGCTTGTCTGTAGTCTGAGTTACAGTCCCCTTCTACCTTCTGGGCCCCGAACCAGTCCCTGCCCCCCTCTCCTCACTGCGCCTTGCCAAGGCTGTGCAGGCTGGGGTGGTCATGGCGGGGTGGAGAGGCAGCCCCTTGCTCTTCCATGCCTACTGCCATCTGTCCGCCGTCTGCCTGCAGCTCTGGCCTTCCCACCCTTGCCTGCCAGCCAGCGGGGCAAGGGGAGGGCTGAGAAGGGGGGACTGGCTCCTCCCACCTGCTGCCTCCCAACCTTCCCTTGCAGACACCGGGATGAGGCCCCCAATCCTGGTCGCTGCCCTTCTCTGGCTCCCAGGACTTTGGACCGAGGTAAGGTGGGCATGGGGGAGAGGAGGAGGGCAGGTCAGGCAGGCAGAGTCCCTGCTCTCTAGGGCACATCCCAGTCCCACTCTGCTCTGCGGGGCCCCACAGCTGGTCTGCATTAGGTGAGAGCAGAGGCTGCTCCCCTCCCACCCGGGCCAGCACGGAGGACAGCGAGAACAGATTGCTCCGGTCCACACCTTGGGTGTGCCTCCCTCCAGGAGATAACCCTTTGGCTGTGCCTGGGGGAGCATCAGAACAGATGAGCCTTCTCTGGGGCCCTGTCCCTGTCCCCCACTCGCTTTCACACCCATCTCCTCTACCCTCCCTTTCCCTCCTTCCCACAGGAAGAAGCATGCCACTTCCTGGAAGGGCGCCCCAATGGAGAGAGTGGAGGTAGGTGTCTGCAGTGGGGAAGGGGAGTCGGGGTGCGGGGGGTGCAGGGCCAGTCTCTCCATGCAGACGCTGCCTCTGCTCCAGCCTTTCGTTGCCTGCCCTCCTTCTTCAGGGCAGATGGGGTGTTGGGAGACTCTGACCGCAATCCCTTTTCCCCAGGGCTACTCCCGAAGGTGAACCTCAGCAGCCAGGGGAGGCCTACTAGCCTCTTTGTGAGCTGGGCAGCCCCGGAGCCAGGGGGGCCTGGCCAAGCCCTCCGGCTACTTCGCCTGAGTCCCCTCGGCTCTCCCGAAGCGCAGCAGCTCCAGGTCCGCACCAATGCCTCCAGCTTTGAGTTTCAGGACCTGGTGCCAGGGAGTCGCTACCAGCTGGAAGTGACTGCCCTTCGACCTTGTGCACAGAATGCCACCGTCACCCTCACCGCCCGCACTGGTGAGTGGCCTGCAGGCTGGAGGTGGGGGCATTGGCTGGGGTCTGGGCAGGAGGTGGCTGCCCTGGAGGGCTGACAGAGGGCAGGGTGGCCTAAAGGGGACAACTCCTCCGAGGACCAGGCCAGGTACAGTGAGCCATTTAGAAGCACTGGAAGCCGAGGGATAGCGTCCCTTGCCCTCTGATCTTGGTGCTTCTCTCGACCTCTGCTGCAGCCCCAGCGACTGTTCGTGACCTACAGCTCCAGAGCTCTGGGAGCCCATCTAGCCTGGAGGCCTCATGGGGTGCTGCTCTCGGGGAGCAGGATGGCTACCAACTTCTACTCTATCACCTGGAATCTCAGACACTGGCACGCAATATCTCCGTGCCCCCGGGCACCCTGTCCTACAGCTTTGGCAACCTCTTGCCAGGGAGCGAGTATGTTTTGGAGGTTACCACCTGGGCTGGCAACCTTGAAGCAAAGACCAGCATGCACCAGTGGACAGGTAAGGTGGGCACTTGGCCAAGGGCCCAGTTGGTGACAAAGCTGGAAGTGGTGGGGGCAGTGGTGAGCCCAGAGCCTCAAAGGCAGGTGTGTTCCAACATGACTGTGCTTCCTGGCTCCCTAGTGCCAGGGCTGGTGCCAGGACTGACTTTGTTTTCTCCATCCTCTCTCCAGCCCCCGTGTCTCCAGATCACCTGGAGCTGCATGCCGTGGGCACCGGTGCCCTGCGAGCCTCCTGGAATGGCTCAGAGGGTGCTGCCTGGCTTCACCTATCACTCACAGACCTCCTGGGTGGCACCAACCTGACTGCAGTGGTCAGGCGAGGGGTCTCCAACCACACCTTCCTTCACCTCTCTCCGGGCACCCCCTATCAGTTGACCCTTACTGCTGCTGTCGGGCCCCATCAGGCAATGGGGCCCAACGCCACCGAGTGGACCTGTGAGTGCCTGAGGGGCGGGGGTCATGACAAAGGCTGTTCCTCACTGGGCAAGCAGCCCCCTGGCCAAGTGGCCAGGATACAACTGGTGGGGGAGGGGTTCTTCTGGAATTCCACAGGAAGGGGGTGGGGCTCAGAGGGTGGTGTGCCCCTCCAGTTGGCTGGTGCAGGCGCCCATCTGAGAAGATGATGATGATGGTAATAGTTGTCATCACTTGAACCCTTCTGTATGCCAGGCCCTGTACTAGGCAGATGGCCATGTATCATCTCATTTATTCCTGCGTTAGTCATTGTTAGCTGCTGTTGAGTCGATTCCAACTCATGACAATTCTGTGTGTGCAGAATAGAACTGCTCCACAGGATTTTCAAGGCTGTGACCTGTTGGAAGCACATGGCCAGGCTTATCTTCCGAGGAGCCTCTGGGTGGATTTGAACCACCAGTTTTTTGGCTAGTAGTTGAGTGCTTAGCCTTTTGCGCCACCCAGGGACTCCATGTCAGTGGTGTTATTCCCATTTTACGATAGAGGGAGCTGGGTTGCCAGAGGGGAAAGAACCCAAGGGCCACACAGCACATAAGTGCCTGAGCTGGGTTATGAGTGCCTGCAGATCCCATAATGACTTTTCTACAATTTTTCTGTGTTTTGACTCAGAGAAGTTCCGTCCTGTAGTGGTTAAGCATAGTGGAGCCAGACCGCCTGGGTTCTGAATCTTATTTCTGCCACTCACTGGCTGTGGGTCTTTGGACAAATTGCTTGCCTTCTCTGTGCTTCCCTTTCCGTATCTCGGAGGGAAGGTAATAGTAGTGTCCACTTGATGGTATTGTGAGCAGTCAAGGGGAGATACTGCGTGTAGAGTACTTAGAGCCAAGCTGGTTATTTCCCTTACTTTTGTCCATGGCCACAGGGACAGATCTCCGTCTTCATCCAGAACTTGGCAATGGTGGCTGCTGGCATCTGGATGAGATGAGGTCCAGCGTGTACAGAAAGAAGCTGGCACAGAATGAGTAGGGTTTTTCTCATCCACTGTTTATCTCCTTTTCCAAAGCACATAATTTGTTCCTTTCCTCCCCAGATCCCTCTGCCCCCCTGGAACTGGTGCTGACCTCCCTGCCCCCGGGGCTCTGGGCAAGCTGGAAGGCTGGGCCGGGTGCCCGGGATGGCTACCTGCTAAGGTTAAGTGGGCCGGTGGAGAGAAATGCCACTCTGGGCCCAGAGGACCTCAACGCCACATTCCCAGGGCCCCTGCCTGCTGGATACTACGCTCTGGAGCTGAAGGTTCTGGCTGGGCCCTATGATGCCTGGGCCCAGGCCAGTGCCTGGCTGGATGGTGAGTCTGGGCTGAGGGCGCCAGGTGGGGCCCTGCCTGGGCATCTGCATCCAGAGGCAGGTGGGTTCTCACTCTCTGGGGCTTGCGTCTTCCCCAGATTCTGAAGCCCAGTCCAGACAAGGCCATGATGCCGCGCTGCAGCTGGACGGGCTGGAGGCCACCAGGGAGCCTGGGAGGAGGGCACTGCTCTACGCTGAAGGCACCCCAGGCCTCCTTGGAAATATCTCTGTGCCCTCTGGTGCCACCCAGATCACCTTCTGTGGGCTGGTGCCTGGGGCCCGCTACCGGGTGAATATTGCCTCATCTCAGGGAGTTATCACACAGAGCCTCACGAGCCACACAAGTGAGTGCCAGCCACTGTGTCCCTGAGCCCCATCCTGGGAGGCCTGGCCTTGGAGAGGGAAGTCTGGGTGGGAAAGAGGCTCCGGAGAGCTGGGCCGGGAGCGTCACAGGACCACAGACAACAGTATGGCCCCCTTACAAAATCACCTTTCTCTTCAGGGCCGCTGGCCCCGCAGTCATTGGAGGTTACCAGCAGGGTCAGCCCCTCTGAGCTGGCCATTGGCTGGTCCCCGGCACCAGGGCAGCGGGAAGGCTACAGGGTCACCTGGCACCAGGAGGACAGCCAGAGGTCACTGGGCAGTCCTGTCGACTTGGGCCCGGACAACTCCAGCCTGGCTCTGAGGGCTCTGGTACCTGGTTCCTGCTACACTGTGTCCGTATGGGCCTGGGCAGGGAACCTCAACTCCAGCATCCAGAGGACCCACGCCTGCACTGGTGAGCTCCTGGCTGTAGCCTCTGGGAGGCCAGCCCCGGGCCGGTGGTGGGGGTGGGAAACTGGCTTCCTTCACTCTCTGCCCTTCTGTGGGCCACATTCTTAACTCAGAAGGCCAACGTGGGCCTTTCTTTAGTCTATTTGCAAACATTTTGACCTCCTACCATCTGGTTTACCACCCACTCACCCACCCATCCACCCATCTACCCATCCATCCATCCATCCATCCACCCATCCACCCTCCCACCCATCTACCCACTCACCCATTCATCCACCCACCCACCCATCCATCCACTCACCCACCCATCCACCCACCCATTGACCCATCCATCCTTCCATCCCTCCAACAAATATTTAATAAATGCCTCCCATTTACTAGGTGTGGAGTTAGGTACTGAGGTTAAAAATCATAAACAAGACAGTCTAGAAAGGAAAACTGACAAGCAAACAGATGGTTTGTATGTAAATTATGTATATTATTTTATGTTATATTACAATACAGTATAAGTGTATTGATAGGAATATGCACAGTGTACTAATTAACTCGAAACATTTGAAACTGTAGTTTTTGTAGGTTAAAATGGTCCGATATCAAATATTGGGAATTTTGTGGGATTTAGCCGAATCTTTTAGGAGCTCACAGAAGGGACAACTGCATGGGAGGCAGGGAAGGTTTTTTGGAAGAAAGTGAGCTGAGTGGAAAGTGTGGGTCTGGGTAGGATGAGGCGCAGAGGGCTTTAGCAAAAGGCTAAGCATGTACCAAGGCCCACAGTGGAGAGAGTGTGACTCCATGCAGGAACTGAACGTCTGCAGGTGAGGTGGAGGACCCATGCGGGATCTCAGAGAGTGGGCCCAGGCTGTGCGGGTGCCGCAGGGGACAGATGTGAACTAGACGCCATGCTCCAAGGAGTGACGGTCGGGGAGGAGGTGGGGAGTGGGTGTCAGGGCATGTCTTTAAGAGGCTTTCCTGGGAAGGAAAGGAGAGTGGGGTTAGAGCTCCGTGGAAGGTGGATTTCTAGGCTGAGAGGGTTTGGAGCTTATTAGGAGACTTAGGGGAGGAAGGCAGATAACAGGGAAGGAGAGGTCCAAGAGGCCAGGGATTCGATTTATTCCAGTTCTGTTTTTCCCTTATCCTTGCAGTCCCGGCTCCTCCTGCTAACTTGAGCCTGGGCCTTGCCCCCCAGCCTCCTGCCCTGATGGCTTCCTGGAGCCCCCCACCGGGGGTCAGGGATGGCTTCCGGCTGCGGCTTTACCAGCTGAGGCCCCTGACTCTGGTAGCCGAGGAGACCCTGACTCCGGAGGCCCAGAACTTCCACTGGTCGCAGTTGTCCCCGGGCACCAAGTTCCTGGTGCGGCTGGCCACCCTGCGGGGTCCGGATGAGAGCAGCAGTGCCAACGCCACGGGCTGGACACGTGAGTGCCCTCGGTGCCACCCTCCCTCAGTGCCACCATACTCTTCAGATTCCTAGGGGGCTGTGGGTCCCCCCTGACCTTTTGTTAGCTGTGGGCAGGCAGCTGGGGTGACTGAGAGCACATTCTCTGATCCCTGGGTCCAGAGGACCCCACTCCCCTCATTGGAAATCCCTTGGGGCCCTGGCCCTTCTGGCATTCCAGAAGGTAGTGGAACCCAGGGTTTTGCTCACTGGCCTAGCAGCCATGGGCACGCCATTCTGCAGCTTATTTTGTGGCTGACAGTGGGGACCTAGCCAGGCCTGGAGCCCCACTTGGGCCCACGAGTGGTTGATACCAGCAACAGTAATAGCTCGTGTTCACAGGCACTTTGTTAAGTGATCCACCTGCGTTTTCTCATGTACTTCTCATAACAACAAGTCTATGAGGCAGGTCCTATAGTTCTGGCCATTTCACAGGTGAGAAAACTGAGGCACAGAGAAGGAAAGTAACTTGCCCTAAGTTCTTCAGCTATAAATGGGGAGTTGGGGTTCAAATTCAAACAGTGTGTCACAGAGCCCATGCTCCTACCCTATACTAACCCCAGCCGGGGAGAGGAGCAGGGCCAGAGGGCCCCTTGGTGAAGGTGCTAGAAAAAGGCATGGAGTTACAGAGGTGGCAGGACCCGCTGTGCATCACACAGAGAGGTTCTCTCCTCCCTGGAAAGCCCCCAGAGCCCATAGAGCTGGGGTTTCATGTTCCCTTCTGTGCTGGCCTGAGTCCTCCTGGTCTTCTGCTTGCTGAGCCCCCGGCAGAGCTGCAGGACAGGGGGTGTCCCCCTCCTCCCCCAGCACCATCCTTCTCCAGAGCTGTGACCTCCCCCGGTCCTCCCCTCTCAGCCTCCCTCTTCCACCCCAACCACCTTCCTTGTTTCCCTCTAGAGTCCACCTAGATTTCTTTCCAGCACTGTGAGACCCCAGACAGGCCTGGGAGGTAGCGTTGTAGGGTGCTGGAAAGAGCTCTGGCCTGGGAGTTAAGATTCTAGTGTTCTGGTTGTGGCTTAGAACCTAAAGCAAGCCTTGTCCCTCTCTGAGCCTCAGTTTCCCCATCTATAAAGGAATTGTTAACTGGGTTCCTGGGCTCAGATCCTGGCTCAAACTCTGAGCGGGGAGAGGCACTGCCGGGGCCCGCAGACACCTGCCTGCCCTTCAGAACCCTGATCCACCCACTTCAGGTCTTTCAAAAGCAGTGCGAACAGTTAAGTGCTGGGCTACTAACCGAAAGGTTAGAAGTTCGAATCCACCTACAGGCACCTTGAAGAAAGCCCTGGCGATCTACTTCTGAAAGATCAGCCGTTGAAAACCCTATAGAGCACAGTTCCACTCTGACACACATGAGGTCACCATGAGTTGGAATTGACTTGATGGCAGCTGGTTAAAAGTTCCTTGGGTGCTGGAGCTGGGAAAAGCACATGATTTAACTCTAGTGCTGCCCAGTCTGGCTCTGCCTTTGAGAAGGGTGAGCGGAGGCTGAGTAAGTGATTAATTCACTTGTTCAACAAACACTGAGCTTGCACTCTGCTATGTGAGGATGAACGGCGAGCCCGGCCACGATGTTGCTTATAGTGGGGGTGGAGTCACAGGCTCACTCGCTGCCCTTGAACTAAGATCTCAGATTCCTAGAGGTTTCTTTTTTTTTTTTTTTAATTTTTTTTTTTATTGTTGTACTTTAAGTGAAAGTTCACAATTCAAGTTAGTCTCTCATACAAAAATTTATACATATGTTGTTATGTGACCCTAATTGCTCTCCCTGTGCTGTGACAGCACACTTCTCCTTTCTACTCCTGATTTCCCGTGTCCGTTCAGCCAGCTCCTGACCCTCTCTGCCTTCTCATCTCCCCTCCGGACAGGAGCTGCCCGTTTAGTCTCACATATCTACTTGAGCTAAGAAGCACACTTTTCACGAGTATCATTGTATGTCCTACAGTTCAGTCTAATCTTTGTCTGAAGAGTTGGCCTCGGGAATGGCTTTAATTCTGGGTTGACAGAGAGTCCAGGGGCCATGCTTTCTGGGGTTCCTCCAGTCTCAGTCAGACCATTAAGTCTGGTCTTCTTATGAGAATTTGAGTTCTGCACCCCACTTTTCTCCTTTTCC